TCGCTGTTAACACATGGACTTCCGTGGGTTCAGTAGAAAAGAGAGTGGCCAGGAGGTCACCTGCTGGAGACAGAACCTGGAGATGTCTTTCCAATTTTAACAGAAATTAGCAATCCCATGTGAACCGTGGGGGCACCTGCAGACTCTGCCCTGTGGTGCCTTCAAACTCCTCTTAGCTTGTTTCCTAGTGGGACAGTGTTTGCTGGCAGAGGTCCTGGTCCAAGGAAGGTATCCTGGTGGCTGTGACTCATCCAGGGAGTGGGGATTCAGTCCAAGCATAAAGGAGATGAAGATAAGGCTAGATGTGCACAGACCCATTCACACCCCACATACAAGCCTCCAAGTTCACACCATTGTGTTCTACCGTGTTCACTTCCTGGAGGGCGCATCGTATTTGGTCAACAGAAATTTCTTATGGTGAGGCACCAACCTTTAGCACTCAGGAAAAGTTGTGTCTCCTTGCATGGAGGCTCATGGGTCTGCACACATTTTTCTGTTTTGCATACGTGTTCAGGACCTTTCATTTCTTAAAGGAAGATGAGGACATCTGGCCAAGGTAGAATACTCTCAGTGTGGAGGCAGCCTCCACATAAGGGGAAGGTGACCTGGATTTAGTTTCAGAAGACTTGACCTCCTCTCATCTAGCTATGCGAGCTTGAACAAGTCATCTGGTCCAGCTGGATGACGTTTTCCTCATCTATGACAAAGGATAATCAGACCCCCTTCACAGACAGGTTGATCTAATTAAGTTGATTCATTCATTCAGTAGTTGCCTAGGTCTGGGATATTTCAAGTGAAGATGAGACTAATTTCCTGCTCTCATTTTAACATACACAAATATGTGAAAAAAATAATGAATAAGGGGACATAGTATTCAGGTGAACCCCCAGGGGATATGAAAGGGTGGGTCTGCCAACTGCCTTACATGGTGGGGGGCAGTTAGGGAAGGCATCTCTGAGGAAGTGGGGTCTAAGCTGTGTCCCACTGCAAAAACTGTGGGAGACAGCAATGACAGAAGGAATATGGAGTGCAAGACCCTATTATGAGACCCTGTTGATGAGCTTGGGGTGTTTGAGTAAGGAAAGAAGGGTAATATGGCCAAAGTGTGGTAAATGAAGGGGAGCAGGAGGCAGAGCCATCTTCTGCAGCACTTTGTAAACCCATAGAGTGAGTTCAGATTTCATTCTGAGATGGGACTTCATGGGAATATTCTTAGTGGGGGAAGGGTGGTGTGATTTGATTTTTGTTTTTATAAGATTCCGGTGGTCCCTCTAAAGAATCTGAATTGGGACAGGAAAACAGTTAGGAGACTGTTGTACTAGTCCCAGCTGGTGTCAGGTGCTAGGGGAGAGATGGAGAGAGGTAGACACTTCTGGACTCTGCATTGTAGATTCTATCAGTGAGTCTTGTTGATGGATTGGCTGTGTTGGGGGAATAATGGTATAGGGGTGAGAGTTTTTGATTTGAGAAGTTGTTTGAGATGAAGAAGCCTAGGGAGGGAACAGCTTTGGAGGAATCAAGAATTCCCCCTTAGACCTGATGGGTTTGCATGGTCTTTTTAGCTATGCAGAAGTAGTACCTAGGCTGCTTGTTCTACAGGTCTAAAGTTTTGGAGGCAGGTCAGAGCTGGAGATAGAAATGGGGAGTCTGTCAGCAGAGGGAGGGATTCGAAGCCATGGGACTGAGTGAGGTCATCTTAGGAGGGAAAAATGCAAGGGCCGATCCTGGGTCTCCCCAACCTTTAGAGATGATGTTTGAGCAGAAGACATGGAGAAACAGCAGTCACTGTGGTCAGAAGAAAAGTAGAAGAGTATGGTGTCTCTTCAGCCCTGCCACAAGAGTTGACAACCAAGAGGCCAAGGAAGATGAGAAAAATGAGCCCACATTCAGTGCCATGAAGGCAGCCTCATTGGGTATTTGTGTGGGATGGAAAAGTGCTTTGGAAGCCCTCGGGTGCTGTTGGTGGTTTCCACAGGAGCCTCTGTGCAGAGGCTCAGAATTCACATACCTGAACCTCAGCCCTGATCGACTGAATCTGGAGCCCCAGTTAAGAGCCACTCGTGTACTCTGTGCCGCTTTCAGTCTCTCTGCTGCTTTCTGAAATAAATGTCTCCATTGAGAGGACAGCTTTTGGTCTGATCACCAGACACACTGATAGTGTGGGTAGGACAGTGACATTCAGTGCTCCTATAGCAATAACTCACACTGGACAGTCGTTTGCCTGAACAGCCATGCAGCTCTAGCCCAGCTGAAGAGCTCATGGTAGTATTGCAGGTAGGGATTAGTTTATGTAATTTCCCTACTCAAACATGAGTTCCATTTGGTTTATATGAGAGAATTAGTTGGCAACCAAAAAGGCCCAACTTTCCCAGGCATGACCGCCAAGCTGTGCTCCAATCCAAGGCGACAGATGACCCTGAGGAGGACATGTTTATGGCCCATCTTCTTTTCTTCCAGTCCTGTTGCCCTGTGCCTTTCACTTTGTCATTTTCCTGTTCTTCCATTTTAGAGACTCTGGATCAATAAGCAGATGTGTGAAAAGAATCTTTTAGACTATCTTGTAAATGCTTAATTGATTTAAAAATGTCACTTTGATAGTAGCTCTAATAATTGTCTGACAACTGTTTCTGAGAAAGCTGCTGAACCTTTGGGGAAATGATTATGAACACATAATTATGTCAGTTATCACACAAATAATCAAATGACTTCTCGCAGTCATACACCTGGATGTGGCTCAGGAGGGCTATCAGGGCATGAGAACTGCTGTGATATCTTTATTAATGAGCAAGAAGTAGAGGTAAATATTGTGCTAATTAAATCTACTGTGGATACTAATCTAGATGGCATAGCTCACCAAGGGGAACACAGATGCCTTACTACATCATTGTGAGCTTTGAAGTACGTGGAATGAGAGCAAGAAAATGGATTTTGATGACAAAGAAAGAAAATGTGAGGGGAAAATATCCTAGATGCACAAATTATTGGAAAGATGATAGGAAGAAGTAAATACCAATGACTGCCTTAATTGCTCAGCAAGAGCCCTGAGTTAGCAGGCCTGCCCCACAAATGGAGTCTCCAGAGAAGGCTGGAATCCTAATTGGAAAATTAGTTTTCAAAGACAAGAAAAAGGAAGCCAGAGTGGTTTTATGAGGTGGTGTTTACTGACTAGGAGCGGTTGAGTTCAGGGAGAAGTAAAGGCCAGTTGAAGGGGTCTATGTTAGTGGGAGAGGTTAGAAGGCAAATGAGGAGAAGCAGAATTGATGTAGGACCTCTGGCCCTAAGGGAATAAGGGTTACTGGGAAGCTTGTCGGACAGAGGTTGACATCAACACATGGTGGCGACGCCCAAGAGGGAAAGGGAGGGAATGCCTTTTCTTGGTGGCACTAGCCACTTGGCATGTTCTGTTACTTCTTCCCAAGCACTTCCCTTATTAGCTGCCCCCTCCTTCTGTCAACCCTGGATCTGGCCCCAAAAACGAATAGGAAGAAGATTCTAAGGACCCCAAAGTATTAATCTCTTGTCTGTTCCTAACTGCCGGGTCTAAGGAGATGGCAGGCCCCATTGACACTCAGCTGGAGGACTTAGGAGAAAAGGCATAGCTCAGTGCTCACGAAAGCACCTCATGGCTGCCTACAGGCTGCCTTTGCCCATGGAGGCTGTTGGCCAACCTTGTCTGTCTCCATGGGTTAGGCAGCAGGAGAGATTTAAGTCTGTGGGTGCTGGACCTTGTTATCTGTGGCTGGGCAGTCCCAGGCGGCGGGGACTGATGGTGGCCTCTAGTACCTCCGTGAGAGAAATGGACCCACAGTGAGGGCTAGTTATCCAGTCCAGCACCTTTCTAGTATTCTCTTCCTTGGAAAACAAAATAAGTACACAAGACTTGGAAGATCAATGCATTTGTTTTTTTGAGAGGCAAAGAGATAGAAAGAATTGCCATCCACTGCTCATAACAGCTGGGATAGGGCCAGGCTGAAGCCAGGAGACAGGAGCCAGGAGCCAGGAGCCAGGAACTCAGTCTAGGTCCCCTGTGCAAGTGGCAGGAACCCGATTCCTTGAGCCATCACTGCTGCCTCCCTGGGTGTACATTAGCAGGAAGCTGGAATTGGGAGCAGAGCCAGGACTCCAACCTAGGCACTCAGACATGGGATGCAGGTGTCTTAACCAACATCTGAACTGCTAGATCGAACACCTGCCCCAACACAAGGGTTCTTAACCACAAGGCTAAATGCCCACCCCAGAGCTCGCATCCTTGTGCTCTCTATCCCTTGCAGAATTTAGATGTAAGTGTAGCAGATAAGAGCACAGGCTGAATTCACTACTACATATTTTTATGTCATGTTTGATAATAGGCCAGCTACATAAACACTCTGAGCCATATGTTTCTTACCTGGAAGTTACAGCTAACAACACCTACTTCACAGAATCACTGCCATAGGGATTAAATAAAATTAATAAGATGTTGGGGTTGGCGTTGTGGTGTATCAGGTGAAGTTACCGCCTGTGGCACTGGCATCCCATATGGGTGCCAGTTTGAGTCCTGATTGCTGCATTTCCTATTCAGCTGTCTGCTAATGGCCTTGGAAGGCAGTGGAAGATGGCCCAAGTGCTTGGGCCCGTGCACCCTCATGGGAGAACCAGAGGAAGCTCCTGGGTGCTGGCTTCAGCCTGGCCTAGCTCCAGCCATCTGGGGAGTGAACCAGTGGATAGAAGATTCATATTCTCTCTCTCTCTCTCTCTCTCTCTCTCTCTCTCTCTCTCCCCCCTCACTCTGTGACTTTGACTTTCTAAATAAATACATATTTTTAGAAAAGAAAGCATGTATAGGGAAGGCTCCCTTTCTCATTAACAGCCTCATTTCTGGAAAGCTGATCTAAAAATGGAGTCTGGGAGTCCCCACCTGGGACAGTTTGTGGCAACAGGAGAGGAAATTGGAAAGCAACTGTAGGGAAGAACTGGCAGCTGGAGTTGGGACCTAATTTATGTCTCTAATCTCTTCCCAGCTACAAATCCTCAGCATGAACTTTGTCAGAATCTGCATCAAAAACACTGGCTTGCCTGGGGTCTCCTCTCTTTCTTGGTTGCTGTAAGCCCACCTGTGTGATGGAGTTTCTGCTTAGAAACATCTGCTCTCCAGTATGAAACAGACTCAGCAGTTCGCGCATCATCACAAGATCTCAGAGCTTGCCCTGGGGGCAACGTTTGGTTCAGACCCGTAGCCCCTGATGGTGTGCTATGGAGTACCATATCAAAGGCAAGTAAAACAGAAGCCTTAAGCCAGATGAAAACCCAGGTAATTAGCAAATTAGTCAAGTTTTCCAAAGATCAAGCCATCAGAATCTCCAAGATTGCTTGTTAAAAAATACAGATATTGGGCAATGTTGTGATGGAGCAGGTTAAGCCACCAGCTGTGACACCAGTATCCCATGAGAACACTGGTTCCGTTCCTGATGCCTCAGCTACGATCCAGCTCCCTGCTAATACGCCTGGGAAAGCAGCGGATGATGGCCCAAGTGCCTGGGCTGCTGATACCCATAAGGTACCTGAATGTAGTTCCAGGCTTCTGACTTGGGCCTGGTCTGGCCCCAGCCACTGTGGCCATCTGGAGAGTGAACTAATGAATGGAAGACCTATCTCTCTTTTCTATATGTATGTTTATCTGTGTCTCCCTCTCTCTCTGTAACTCTGTCTTTCAAATAAATCTTAAAACACGCACAGAGATACCTGCGTCTTTCTCAGAGCTGCTGAATCAGGATTACTGAGCTTGAGATCTGCCACATTCCACATCAGCAAGTTGTCCCATGATTCTGATGGATGATAGCTTAAAAACCAATGTAAGAACTATAAGGATCACAGGGGGAAGACATCCACTTAAACAGATTAAAATTGATGTGGAGAGGCCCCAAGATGGTGGAATGGAGAGGGAGCTTACTGCTCTAGTCTAGGGGAAGATAGTTAAAAAAAAAAAAAAAACTGGAGAGAGTGCAATTTCAGGGAAGAGGTAGAGAGAAAACAGCAGAGGAAACTCCATGCAAATTAGAGGGGCACTGTGGATCTATGTGGAGGGTGTAGATGCACACAACTCATGACCCCAGCAGCTGAGAGCCTCAGCACCAGCTTTGGACAGTGAGCCTAAGCCACTGGTGATAAAGCTTTGGGTAGAGTCTGGCATGAGTCTGGCTTGGAGCCCTGTGGTGGACAGTAGAACTGCCAATCTTGAGGAAAAGGGGGGGCACATTTCTTTCTCCCCTACTACCCAGCACCAATGTCCTGTTACTAGCCAAGAGTGGGTGGGTTTGTTTTGGACAAACGTAACAGCTGTGCCAGTTCATGTCCATGTGCTCAGCAACCAGCTGAGAGGAGACGCCTAAGTGTGGCTGGGAGAATTGACAGGGGGCTGGGTGTTCATGACTGTGGGAGCCTTGGGTGCTGGAACTGTGAAAACACTGTCACTGTATGTGAGGGTGCAGGCTGTGGCAGGGTCTTTGGGCAGTCACTGTAGGTGGCTGCACATGCTCAGGGCTCCCTGATTCCCTGGTGAGGGTCATTGCTGCAGGATCCTGTGCTCACACCGAGGACTGCATGGATCCTCTGTGGTTCCTGTGTCAGTGTGGATGAATATTGTATCCACTGGGGCTAGTGCCCAGGTATTAGTCTCCTTGGAGGAGAGAACATAAGCATGAGACTACACTAACAGAGCTGAATAAACTTCCTCTGTGATTAAAGAGAGAGGAGATTCACCACGCCCAATTTGGAAGTCATCTTGGACTTTCCTCACCCAGAAGCATCGAACATATCTCCGTGGCACTTGCCTCAGGGTGTTCACTAGAAGAGCAGACACTCCACTAATCCACAGAGGCATAGTCCAAAGGTAAAATCCATCTCAGGGGGAAAAATATAAACCAAAAAGTACCACAACAAATGCCTAAAAATAAACACAGCAATTCAAGAAACAAGAATAAGGAAGAAAGCATGACTCCCCAGAAGGAACACAACAACATTTTAATACTAGAATGTGAAAATGAAGAGATCAAAGAAATGCCAAAAATGGAATTCAAAAAATTGATCATAGGATTACTTAGAACTAATCAGAAGCAAATGCATGAACTAATGAAATCCATGCATGATGTGAAAGAAAATTTTTCTCAAGAAATTGAGATTTTAAATAGAAATCAAAATGAAATACTGGAATTGAAGAATTCAATAGAACAAATAAGAAATGCAATGGAAAGCCTTAACAACAGAATCGGTGAGGTAGAAGAAAGAATATCTGAGTTAGAAGACAAATCTCTGGAAGTTTTACAATCAGACTGAAAACAAAGAAGAAATTAGAAAACTAAAAAACAGTGTTGGAGATCTATGGGATACTATCAGATGACCCAACATGTGGATCTTAGGAATTTCTGAAGGTGTGGAAAGAGAGAATGGATTAGAAGGCATTTTTAGTGAAATAATTACAGAAAACTTCCCCAATTTGGAGAAAGAAAGAGATGTCCAAGTACAGGAAACACATAGAACTCCTAATAGACATGACACTATATAGTCAAACTCTCCACACACTGTCTTTTGTTGTACTTTTTTTTGCTGTCCTGTTATATCTCGATCTTAATTCTCAGTTTGTATCTGACACTGGATCATATCATAATGGACTTACCCTCTTTCCCCACAGGACAGCAGAATCAGGGTAGCTGGCCCAGGACATCTGGGCATTTTAGCTGCTTTGGACAATGCACAGAGTAGAGCAATGGGCCCAGGTGAATCTATAGGCTGGTCCCTTGGTTCCCTATAGCACCACTTGAGCATGGCCTATGCCCATTGTTAAGAACTGGATGGGAGCGGCTGGTGCCGCGGCTCACTAGGCTAATCCTCCATCTTGCGGCACCGGCACACCAGGTTCTAGTCCCGGTCAGGGCGCCAGATTCTGTTCTGGTTGCCCCTCTTCCAGGCCAGCTCTCTGCTGTGGCCAGGGAGTGCAGTGGAGGTTGGCCCAAGTGCTTGGGCCCTGCACCCCATGGGAGACCAGGAGAAGCACCTGGCTCCTGGCTTCGGATCAGCGTGGTGCTCCGGCCGCAGAGCGCCGGCCGCGGCGGCCATTGGAGGGTGAACCAATAGCAAAGGAAGACCTTTCTCTCTGTCTCTCTCTCACTGTCCACTCTGCCTGTCAAAAAAAAAAAAAAAAAAGAAGAAGAAGAAAAGAACTGGATGGGGCAGACAAGGAGCCAGGCCTGGCAGGTGGACAGACCTTGCCCTTTACCGAGGCCTGCAAGATCTCCCCACTGATAGCCCCCAGTCTTGCCTCTTCTCGTTTCTTATCTAGCCCCAAACACCAAACCACCCAGCCCTCTGCAGACTCCCTGCCCCTCTGCAGGCTCCCTGCTCCTGGCTCCTTCACCCCACTGGGCCTGACTTCATACTCTTTCTGCCCCTGCTCGCCTTCTCACTCCCTGCCCTTTCCAACCTCAGCTCCATCAACTCCTCCTTGTTCTTAAGTTCCTGTCTGGGCGCTAAATCCAGAAGGAAATCTTCCCTGGCTCCAGGCTGTGCCCTGCCCTCAGGTTCACCCTGGCAGCCTTGGCCATCATGACCTGTTACACCCTTTACGACTACGCTTCCGAGGCACCTGTCACCAGACCCATATCTGGCCCAGGGATCAGGGAAGGGTGTTTATTTATCTCTGTATCCCAAGAGCCTTATGCCAGACGGATGATTGGCTCATAGAGCTGATGCACAGAGACCAAAGCCTGAGCTGCTTGAGGCTCTGCCTTCTAGACATGGGCACTTATTCCTCAGTTTTGTCTAATTTCTGCAGAACTGGCTATACTTTGGGTTAATGATCTTGCAGACACACATTTAAAACCAGTTCCCACTGTGGAAGAGAGCGAAGAGGGAGGAAGGGAGCTGTATAGAAGCTGGACCTCCCTGAATGCACCTTGCTTTTAGCTCAATTTTGGAGCCAGTTATGTTTTCATATATTTCATATATTTAATTAAATAAAAATAATTTCTAAAGATGGAAAGCAAACTTGCAAAAACAGGATAAAATTTTACCCATATATATGGTTGTTGGATTATTTCTCTTTATTTTTTGAGTTTATTTGAAAGGCAGAGTGACAGGAGTGAGAGAGCAAGTGAGCAGGACAGAGAGAGAGAAAGAGAGAGAGAGAGAGAGAGATCTCCCATCCACTGGTTCACTCCTAAATGGCCGCAACAGCTGGGTCTGCACCAGGCCAAAGCCAGGAACATGGAACTCTATCCTGGTCTCCTACATGGGTGACAGTGACCCAAGCATTTGGGCCATTTTTGCTGCCTTCCAAGGTGGGAATTTTGCAGGAAGCTGGATTAGAAACGGAGCAGCCAGGACCAGAACTGGCATGCTGGTATAGGATGCTAGTGTCACAAGCAGCAGTTTAACCAGGTGTATCACAATGCCAGCCTCAGGAAACTTACCTCTAATTACTTTGAACCACAGTAATATTACCTCCCTACTGGGAGCTAGCTCAAAAATAAGGAACCTTGAAGGTATCAATCTTACTCTGTGTTCACTGATGTTGTAGGTAGGGATATTGATACTGGTTTTTTAAAAGCACTTATTTTATTTATTTGAATGGCAGAGTTGGGGGTGGGGTGGAGAAATAGAAGCAGGGAGAGAGTGAACCATCCACTAGTTCACTCTCCAAATGGCTGCAATGGCTGGGACTGGATCAGGCCAAAGCCAGGAGCCAGGAACTCCATCAAGGTTTCCCATGTGGGTGGCTGGGCCCAAGTACTTGGGTCATCTTTCTTCTGCTTTCCCAGCTCATTCACAGGGAGTAGGACTGGAAGTAGAGTAGCTGAGAATTGAACTGGCATTTATATGGGATGCTGGCATCACAGGCTACAACTTAACCCCCTGATAGCGTTATTTTGCAGTCAGGAAAAAAAAGATAAAGCAAATATATATGTCCAATATTTTAGGTAGGAACCAAGACTCTGAATAAAAGGAGATAAAACATAGAGATCAAAATAATACAAAGTTTAAATAAAATCCTGAAATTGTTACCTTAAATTGAAAATATCAACTCATGATTTATATTTCTTTTTTTAAAAATGGATATTTCTTAAATATGTCTATGGCAAGGATTTAGAAGCAACAATAACTTAATAACAACAAACACATTAGTTGCCAAATTGTTGCTAGATGCCATCTCCCACTCAAAGGAACAAGGACTTCTTGAGCGGGAACATCTTGTCATGCCTTAAAGCAAGGAAGCTGTCAAAATTACTGTGATCACAGAATGATGCATGGCCAACCTGAAGGGCTCCCATTGACCAAAGATGAGGCCTTTTGAACACACACACACACACACACACAAATCACCACAGTGGGGTGAAATGCATCAAACCTATAAGAAGTTCTGGGTTCGCCTCTCCCACATTGCCAAAACCGGTAAATCTGCCACAGTCACATCTGGAAGTCACTAAAACACTTCTTATTCTGAAAACTGACTAGTAAAGAAAAAGAATCAAATAATTACCCTGCCTTCCCAGATCAACAATATCCCATGGCAATCAAATAGTTGTTCTTTGATTCCTTCTAGAAAAAAACACAACTGGTAAATACAAGGGTAACACTGGGAGTTCACCAGTTTGAAAATCCCGAAAGAGATAATGGTTCAAGGCTGCAGTTGTCAATGGCTGCAAAAGCCATTGGGATGAAAGTTGCTTAGGGATCACAATGTATGAATGAGGTTGACACCACCTGAATCCAAAGATAAAGGGTAAATGAGTCAGGTGTGCCGTGCACCCTGATGTGACGCAACAAGAGGACACAGCGTCCATCACCTACAGAGTCTGTCTTGCACCATAATTCTTCCTTGCTGTTCTCTCCCCTAAAAATCCCAAAGACCTTGAATGTACTAAAGCTCTAGACCTGACTCTCAGTCCGCAGGAAATATGGTAGGTAGAGAGCATGTTCAATATCATCATGAGTAATTAAGCAGGAATATATTAAGTACATGGGAAATTCTATAGAGCAAATGACCCAATTTAATCCTAAAATAAATGGCTTTTCTTTTAAATAAAAAATAGAAGTGGAACAATTACAGATAAAAAGATTTAAGAAACATGCCAACTTTGGTGACTCTTATTGAAAGATATACAAGTATTTTTTATAATATTCTTTCCAGTTTTCTGTAGATTTTGGAAAATTTTCCATTTTTTAAAAAGGAATCAAAGACATATTAGCCAAACACAGTGTGTGGATCTCGTTTGGATATTGATTTGATCATGCTAGTTTAGAAAGATGCATTTAAGACAACAAGGGAAAATAGGCATGTGCTTTATTCTGAGTTACTGTTCTTGTTGAGTATGATAATTTTACCATGGTTGTATTTTTCAAAAGCCACTATTTATTTATGTATTAATGATTTATCTATTTGAAAGGTAGAATTACAGAAAGAGAGGGAGACTAACAGAGAATCTTCCATTTGCTGCTTCACTCCCCAAATGGCTGTAGTGGCTGGAGCTGTACCAGGCTAAAGCCAAGAGCCCAGAACTTCTAGGTCTCCCATGTGGGTGCAGAGGCCCACGTGCTTGAGCAGTCTTCCACTGCTTTTCCCCAGGCCATTAGTAAGGAGCTGGTTTGAAAGTGGAGCAGCCAAGTCTCCAACTGGCACCCCTGTGGAATGCCATGCCACAACGCTGACCGCTAGCTAGTATTTAAAAATAGATGATTAAGTAGTATAAATGAAAAGCATTAACATAGTACTAAGGCTTAGGTACAGGAGAAGGAACATGTTGGGTATTATTAGAGCTACAGTTTGGGCTCAGTACTGGTATCACTGCTAGTTAAGTGGGAGAACTTGAGTGAATTTCTTTCTCTCTTAGCCTCAGTTTCCACCAAATACCACCTGCTTTACGGGACTGTGAGAATGGGATAGAATATGTTTATGGCAGTGCCTGACACAGTTGATATTTAACAGACTTTTTTTTTTTTTAAGTGTAAGAGGTTATCACTTTCAGGCAGATTTGTGTTTAACCTATGTCAACATCTCAAGTGGCTCATGATGGATTTCCAAGCCTTCTCAATGGGTGAATGACCAAGTCACTTGAGCCCAGGTCACCTGCAGTTTCCATTGGTTCCCAAAGCACTAGACTGTAAAGGGTAGGAATCAGGGCGTTGTAGGCAGCCCGCACTAGGCATATGACCAAGGTCACCATATAGTGGTCAAGCTAAATGAATCAATATCTGTAACCTGCTTAGAACAGTGCTGACTCATGGTCATATTCTATAACATTATTATTATTATTGGAAGTGACCTAGCAGGGGACCGGTGTCATGGCTCACTTGGTTAATCCTCTGCCTACGGTGCTGGCATCCCATATAGGCACCGGGTTCTAGTCCTGGTTGCTCCTCTTCCAATCCAGCCCTCTGCTGTGGCCAGGGAGGGCAGTGGAGGACGGCCCAAGTGCTTGGGCCCCTGCACTCACATGGGAGACCAGGAAGAGGTACCTGGCTCCTGGCTTCGGATCAGCGCAGCACTGGCTGTGGCAGCCATTTGGGGAGTGAACCAATGGAAGGAAGATCTTTCTCTCTCTCACTGTCTATAATTCTACCTGTCAAATAAATAAAAAAAAAAAAAAAAGGAAGTGACCTAGCCAAATCCAAGGCAACTTTAATTCCTACAAATTCCTCCTTTTTCTGTTTCTCTGAACTTCCTCTCAGGGGTTGAGGTGACAATCCATAAATCGATGTATTTTTTTCTATGCTTAGAAAGGATGACTCAGTCTCTTAATTCACAGATTCTACTCTTGCCTTAGGCATGAACCATTTGAGTTTCCATTTTGACTGTATTATTGCTAATGGGTCTTTGACTCTCAAAGATAACAACTGTTTTGGTCCAAAAATGATGAGAGGGATCAATGGCCCCATAGGGTCCCCTACACCGGTTTCATCCTGCTGCTCCAAGGGAAGTCTTTTCCTTGTTGTAGCAAGTGGTAATCAGAGATAGAGATACGATTAGTCCTTTCCTAAGACAGCGAGAGGTCTTGGAGAAGGGCTTGGTCTAACTATCACCTGAGGAAGTCTGCCAGTTGGTAGCCTTTTTGCGAGAGAGGAGATTTGTTCGTGTTTCAGTTTCTTCCCTTGACCATGGACTGCTCAGTACAAATCTCTAGGAGACCTGAGTTTAGTGAGTTACCCTACAAATGGGATAA